TTTTGAAAGTGAGGGAAAGACAAGATGAACCTGAAGGGGACGTAGGATTGAGAAAAGTGTTTCCTTGTTTATCTTATTCACTGTTTTATTTACATGGTAGACTCAAATTTATTTCTCTGTATTCACTTGTTATTGGCTCTCCCCATTTAACTCACAATTTTTAATTCTGCCTCATTGGCATAGAAACCATTCTTGAATCTGTTTATTCAGACTATTCTTTCAATTTTTCTGTAAGTCTGAAATTCTTTTAAAAAGGTATTTTAAAGTCTTAGTGTGTGTGCCTGGCCTCCCTCTCCCTTGGTTCTAAGTCAGTGTCCCCTCCCCTCACCCTCCACTACAAGCCCCAACCCAAGGCCACCTCCCTTCATGCTCTTTTGAAGAAATGAGTAAATTTCTGAAAGTGGGTTATCAAACTTCTATTTCAACCAGTTTCCATTCCATTGCTTACATGTAAAACTTGATCCTGTGCATATTGTTTTATTGCAATGATGGGGAACATAATTTAACCTCATTAGAGCTTCCTTATTTACCATGCCTTTTATTATATAGTGACCTGTCTTCTCTCACTTATTCTCTTGCTGATGATGTAAGTGCTATCTTTATTTCCTCAATATAGCTTTAACTTAGTCCGTTAGATTTTGTTCATGTCATCAGGTTTGCAGTGTATCTTTAGTAACATCTTATTATTGTGTTTTTCTAATCCCGAGGCTTTTGTTTTGTCAGGTGCTTACCCTGCTTATATATGCTGGTATAAATGTTCCATATGGACTACATCCCATTTCTTCTTTATCATTGTTACTCTTGGTTTTCCTTTAGTACTCTGTTATTTTCCCCACAAAATCATTAAGATCCAGGAGCCATGACCGTATTATTCCATACATGCATCCAATTAATTTCTTGGAGAATCATTTTATGTAATGATCCTTTAAAAACATGTTTGAGACAGTCTTACCGGCTCGGCGTGGTGGCTCAAGCCTGTAATCCCAGCACTTTGGGAGGCCAAGGGGAGAGGACTGCCTGAGCCCAGGGATTTGAGACCAGCCTGGGTAACTTGGTGAGACCTCATCTCTACAATAAATCAAAAAATAAGCCGCGCGTGGTATCACATGCCTGTAGTTCCAGCTACTTGGAAGGCTAAGGCAGAAGGCTGCGGTGGCCATGAGTGTGTCACTGCACACCAGCCTGGGCAACAGAGTGAGACTCCAACTCAAAAAAAAAAAAGTCAGTCTTACCTAACCTGTTGGAATTTAGCCTAATTCCACCAATTACCTTATCACAAAAAGCATTAAAATTGTCATATCACTCTCCCTCCCCACCAAAAATTATAGCTTTTCTTTAACAGGAAAAAAAAGATTATATGCCTTACTTGTCATTATTTAACATAGCTTAGAATTATTTTCTGATTAAATATACTCATAGTACATACCTTAAATCAACTTGTTTTTATTTTTTATTGCTCACTTTTTTTTTTTGAGTTGGAGTCTCACTCTGTCACCCCGACTGAAGTGCAGTAGCCACTCCTGGCCACCACAGCCTCGACCTGCTGGGCTCTGGTGATCCTTCCGCCTCAGCCTTCCAAGTAGCTGGAACTACAGGCGCGCGCTACCACACCCGGCTAATTTTTTATTTATTGTAGAGATGAGGTCTCGCCAAGTTGCCCAGGCGGGTCTCGAACCCGCGGGTTCAGGCAATCCACTCTCCTCGGCCTCCCAAAGTGCTGGGATTACAGGCTGAGCCACCGAGCCTCGCCTCACTTTTTTCTGAGACTTGGAATACAGGGCCTCTGTTTGACTCAACTCTTTTTTCCCATTTATGTATTTAATATTATCTTCAATAATTGTATACATTTGGGGGTACCAGTTCTTTAAAGGTTGTTTGGAGATCAGTCTGAATGCCAGGTTAGTTAGATTATTTTTCCTTAGTTCTTCCCATATTTTATTATTGCTAATATTTTGAGATCTTAGGTGAGAGGCCTGATATATCCTTATTATTAATCCTTTCAATGTTTTCTGCCCTCTAACTTAAATATTTAATATACGCTTTCCATGTCCTTGAGTTTTACAAATAAATGGTTTGGGTTTTTTTGTTTTTTTGAGTCGGTCTCTGTCACCCAGACTGGAATGCAGTGGCACAACCAGACAGCTCACCACAGCCTTGACCTCCTGGGCTCAGATAGTCCTCCCACTTTAGTCTCCCAAGTAGCTGAGACTACAGACATGTGCCACCACACCTGGCTAACTTTTTTTGACAAATAAATGTTTAGGTGTCTTGCTGTTGTTTACTTTATAATTGAACAATACAGTACTGTGGTAAGCATGGGATAAAGTGCCGTATACATGCTCTCATATACTGTCCATAACAACCCTGAGACTGATATGTTCTCCTTTTTTGACAGAGGAAACTAGAGAGGCAGACAAGTTAAAAGATTTTCTCAACTTGTAAGTGTCTGAAACAAGATTTGAACACAGACCTGATCCCCAACCATATTCAAAGTTAGTGTTTTCAACCCTCATGCTACAGTAACTCTCTAAACTTTCTTTGAGCATAGCCTTTACTGCATGTTTTGACATTTGTTCCATCTTCTAGAGTTCAAATCTGTTTTGTGTTTAATTGTTTGCATTTGACACCTAAATCATTTCACAATTGAGAGGTGACTTTTTTCAGTTTCTTTCTGCAACATCCTCTTTTTTGTTGTTGTTTTCCTAATTGCTGTTATTGTTGCATTAGACTCCTACCCAGGTCCTTGTTTTAGGGTTCACATCTTCTCCCCTGAGAGAAATCATTGCAGAGACTGATTATGATCTTTTGCCTAAGTTCTTGGAGCATTTTGTTTTGCAACAGCATTTTATATCTTTCCCATTCTAATGTATTTTGGTAGTGACAATAACTGTTCAGGAATATACACTTCAAACTTTCTTTCACTAGTAGTTAGTACTTAGTTCTTTCTGGCTAATGGGAGAAATTTGAGGTCAAGCTGGTTTTAGTGTTGATGGTGACAGGAAAACAATCAAACACTGAATTTATTTTCATATTAAGCTTTTATAGGAATAATTTATAGCTACAAGGGGGACCCAAAACGAAACAGAATTTATTTATAAAAATTGTGTATTTATTCTTACATGTTTAACTTTCAGTCACCTTCAAAGTACTCTCCGTTTGATGCAATATGCCTATTGAGATGCTTTTCCTGCTGCTCAAAACAGATTTTGAACTAATCCGTTTTGATGCCTTTTAGTGCTTCTGCTGTTTTTTTTGTTTCACCTCTTCCACATTGGCAAAACATTTCCCTTTGAGGACTTTTTTCATCCAGGGAAACAAAAAAAAAGGCCACTTGAGGCAAGATTGGGTGAATAGGGGAGGTGGGGCACAGAGGTCATAGCATACTGTTTTTGGTCAAAAACTGCCGAACACTCAGAGTAGTGTTGGCAATTGTTCATGTAAATCACCCATCACATAATGGGTAAAGGCATTGAAAGAATCTCCAAAAATAAAAGTTCACTGAAGCCAAACAAGCCTCTCACAACACTAGTGGGTACACGGTTACCAGTGGGTTCCTAGAACACGTACCTAGTAGGGGAAGCCGCCTGTCTTCCAAAAATTAATTCCATTTTTTGGGAGGTCCCTCTCATATAAAAACATTTACTTGGAATATTAGTGAGTCAACTAAAGAATTTGAATAAAGTCTGTAGTTTAAATAATAGTATTATGCTAATGTTCATTTCCCAAGTTTGATAAATGTACTGTGATTATGTAAGAGAATTTCTTTGCATTTAGGAAATTCATACTGAAGAGTATTTAGGGGCAAAGGGTTCCATGTGTGCAACTTACTCTCTGATACTTCAGGAAAAAATTATACATAGACAGACACATATAGACACATATATGTAGAAAGAGAATGATACAGCAAATATTAACATTTGGCAAATCTGAGAGAAGGCATGTCTGTGACTTTCCTATTCTAAATCAGCATTTCACTGGGGCTGTTCAACAATATCCCCACCTAGGACCCACTCCCAGAGGTTGCTGCAGTAAGTGTGGGTTGGTATCTAGGAAAGATTAATTTTGACAGATACTTTTTATAAAAGCACCCTCCCCCTATGATTAAAAACTACTATGCTATTTCACAGGACCATTCATCTTGATTAAAGTCTAAGACTGTACTGCAGATCATTTTTTTGCCATCCATATCACAGTGTAGATGAATATAGAACTTGGTGTCAACTCAAATCCATATGACTAGAAAGAAACAGGACATCACAGTGGGAAGAGGACAGACTTGGGAGTCAGACCTGGGTTCTAACCTCAGTCTGCCATATACTTAACCCACCTAGGCCTCTGTTTACTCCTATGTGCAATGAGGGGGAAGGTCTCTAACCCACAGGTTACCATGAAGATTAGAAAAGAAAACATTTGTAATTAAATATTAGTTCCCTCTCCTCAAGTAAAGTTATTCTACTTTTTTCTAGAGAGGTAGGTACCAACAAAAATCAACCATGATTCTCAAAAAGGGGTAAAGGTGGAAAGAAAGCAATTTAGTTAGATTAAACTGATTAGGGGGCTGAGAAGGTAGATTAGATTGAAAGCCCCAATGGCTAGGATGGACTGTATATAAACAGAGATTATAAAAATCAGTTTTGTCAATGTCACCCTTAGCACCTTTAAGTCTGCAGAGTGGGATTGTACTGGACAGGAGTGGTATTCAGCAATCAGCAATTTTCAGTTATACTTTAATTTTTTTATATCAGCTAATTGTCAGTCTTTAGTCAGTCTTGATTTCCTGAATACAGTCAAAATGAGGCACTGAAATTTTATCTCTCACTATTAAAAATAATCAACATGACATAAATCGTTACTTTTAAAACATGGCAAAATAAATTAAAATAATGACAGCTGTTTAAGGATGGTCAAATTTTGGTTTAAAATGAACATAGCCCACGTAATGGAGAAGAAAACATGATACTCGTTTCTGAGAATAAGCACTACAACCCCATAATACTTACCAACATGTGAAGGCCAAACAGTAATATGAGGATGGGAATGATACCAGCCCACAACTCTCATGGGACGACCTGTCAGTTCAGCCAATCTGTGTGTCTGTCAAGGTATTTTCAAAATGTGAGAATAAAATTTCTAATGCTAGTAAAGGCTGGAAAACATCCTGAAGTTTAAAATAAACGTATTACAGTTTAATGACAACAAAAGAATGAAATAAAGTTAATGCTCAGAATTTCCCCTACTATGCATTTAAAGACAAAGTTGTTTTTTGCCTAGAATCCATATGGTTTCTGTGACTGTATATAGTTACATCCTCTTAATTCAATTTAGCTAATGTTTGCTCACTCAGATCTTTACTTTTTAAATGCACTTTTAAATTTTCAAATGCCAACAGCAATCCATTTCTTCAGTTGTAGACTAGGGAGGAATAATGCTTCACAGAGCAGTGAGGTGATCCACACAAGGTGTTTATAGCACAGTGCCTGACACCCAGTCTGCTTAACCAACAGTAATTACTGCTGGAGTCCTGCTGGGTAGACAAGAGACAGCTGCAGAGGTCAACACCTTGGATATCCACAGAGGGCCCCACACAAGAGGGTGAGGAAACTACCCAAGGCTGTGAAAGGAACCCCAAAAATATGAAAGGTGACTCTGCCCAGTGTCTGGCATCCAATCACAAACTACCAGGGATACAAAGAAGTGGGGAAAATGCAGCCCACTATGATAAAATGGAGAAAAGATTAGTGGTTGTCAGAAGTTAGGATTGGGGTTTGAAGGGGTACACTGAAAAAGCCAGTCTCAAAAGGTCATACACTATATGATTCACTTATGTAACATTCTCTTGAAATGACAAAACTATAGAGATGGAGAACAGAGTAGTGGTTGCCATGGGTTAGGGGTGGTGGAGAGGTGTGACTATAGCATGAGGGAGATCTTTGTAGTGATAGAATAGTTCTGTATCTTGACTGCTGCGGTGCTTGCATGTATCTATACATGTGACAAAATAGCAGAGAACTATACATGCTATATCAATGTCAATGTTCCAGTTTCCATATTATAATAACAGAAAATGTAACCTTCAGAGGAAAGGGTACAGAGAACTTTCTGTAGTATTGTTTTGACAACTTCCCATGAATCTAAAATTATGTCAAAATAAATAGGTTAAAAAAAAAAACAAACAAGCATTCCAGAGCCCAGAGGCAATACCAGAGGAACTAGCAGCCAATGACTTGATGGGACAAGTGCTTCCAACTCAGTTCCAGGTGACTGGAAAGGAAATAGAAGAGGCTGGGCATGGTGGCTCATCCCTATAATTCCAGCAGTTTGGGAGACAAAGTACAGTGGACTGCCTGAGTCTGGGGCTTCCAGGTCATCCTGGGCAACTTGGTGAGACCTTCTATTAACAAAGAATTCAATAATTGGGTGGGCATGGAACATATGCTTGTGGCCTCAACTACTCAGGAGGCTAAAGGGGCAATACAGCCAAAATGCATGACCTCGAGGCTGAGTGGCATACATTTTAAGTTTACATTTGTATGATAGATTTGTATGTTTCATGGTACTAAATGTCAAATTAGACTGCAATATACTTCTATCTAATGTGCTCATGATATATTAACTTGATAAAATATATTCATAAACTTAAAAAAAAAAAACAAGCAAACAAAGGCCGGGCTCAGTGGCTCAGCCTGTAATCCCATACCTTGGGAGGCAGAGGTGAGTGGATTGCCTGAGCCCGCGGGTTCGAGACCCACCTGGGCAACTTGGCGAGACCTCATCTCCACAATAAATCAAAAAATTAGCTAGATGTGGTAGTGCGCGCCTGTAGTTCCAGCTACTTGGAAGGCTGAGGCAGAAGGATCGCCGGAGCCCGGCAGGTCAAGGCTGCGGTGGCCAGAATCGGCCACTGCAGTCCAGTCTGGGCAACAGAGTGAGAATCCCACTCAAAAAAAAAAAAAAAAAATCAAAAATTAGCTGGGCATGGTAGCGTGTGCCTATAGTTCCAGCTACTTGGAAGGCTGAGGTGGAAGGATCCCAGATCCCAGCAGGTCAAGGCTGGGGTGGCTGTGGCTGTGCCACTGCACTCCAGCCTGGGTGACAGAGTGAGACTCCAACTCAAAAAAAAAAAAAAAAAAAACAAGATGGAAAAGGCACATTCTGTAAGACTGATAAATCTGATTATATAAAAATGTGAAAACAACATCCTGACTGGGAAACACACAGACAGACACTCACACCCCACTAATAAACTGGGAAAAACCACTATTCTTACCACAGGAGGTTAATTTTCTTAATATGTAGAATGCCTATAAGTTATTAAGAAAAAGATTACCAAATCAATAGAAAAATGGGCAAAGGAAATAACCAAATAATTCAAAGAAAAACACAAATGAGTCTTAAAAAATGAAAAGCTGATCAAATTTACTTATAATAACAAAGATATAAATTAAAATTATAATAAATGTTTTGATGGTCAGACTGATGACAATCAAAAAAGGTGATAATACACAATGTTTGTGAGGCTGTAGGGAAAAAAAAAAAAACTGGTAAAACATCTATAGCTACAAGTATACATGACCTTTGTCCCAGCAATTCTACTTCTAAGAATTGATCCTTCAGACAAACACGCACATGTATGAAATGCAATATGTACAAGGTTGTCCACAATTTTCAAGATCACTTTTAGGTGAAAAAAAGATGAATATTGTAGAAGTCATCATATGTATTCAATTGTTTTTTAAGAGAAAATATTCATATATTTCTGTATGCACAGAAATCATCTGTAAGGATACATAAAAACTGATAACCCTGGTTATGTCTGAAAGGGACCCTGGAGGAACTGGGGCATAGAAAATACATATTTTTAAAAATTACTTTTTAGTTGATTTAATTTAGATTAACTTAATCCAAAAGAATGACAAATTATTAAAACCAATGATGCAAATTTAACTTGCTATAGCTGAGGTATAGAGTCCAAATCATAGGAAACAAATGCCCTGTTTGATCATTCTTTGGTTATACTTGACATGGAATACTGCATTCAGTTCTCAGTATTGCATCTTTTAAGGAGCTAGAGACCAGGATAGCAAAAGGCCTAGAAATTAAATGATGCTAGGAAAACCGGAAAGAGGAATAGAAAGAAGAGTGGGGAGTAAGAAGGAAGCTGGAGGGGCCTCCCCATAGAGTTCATTGTACATTTGGCATTTAGGGATCTTTTGGCATCTAGCAGGAATGTCAGAAATGCCCAATTATTCAAAAGGAGAAACAGACAGAAATTCTGATTAACCAAACAATTGGCCAGGAAGATTTGTGAAACTACCTAAAGCAGGATGACTGCAGCAATATCACCGTGGCCTGGGAGCCCCAGAGCACATAAGTTTTTTATTGACCAATAAGGATATTTCTGCCTCTGTTGAGGCTGCAGACAGCTGCTCTGGAGAAATTTCTACTCGATCCTTCCTTTTATCAGAACGTCGCAAGATGATGACAGAATGAATATGAACAATTCTGACGGTATCAACCTAAAGAAAGATCCATAGAAATGGTTACTTACGTTTCTTTTCAATAACACATTTCCTTTCAATTATGGAATTGCATTTTATAACAGTATCGGGTCAAAGGTTCCATTTTAGAAAACTGATACTTTTCTCATAAATAATGAAATGCCTTAAAAAAGACATCTAACTTCAACATATACATTTCAGAGACAAAAACATAAAATATAAGCTACTATTTAGACCCAAAAAAGACATTTTCAATGATCAATCAATAATTATTTTACTTACAACTACATGCAAAATACCGTGTATACGAAACTCCACTAACATAATATAGTCAATCAATGTTAGCTCAGAGGAAAGAACTCCATTATATTTTCATAGAAAAAAGCAGAGAAGTCCTTGATTACTGGGGGGCAGATTTTCTATGGGTGCCAAATGGCGATGAAGTAAGAAAGTTGAAAAGTAGAAAGACATAAAGTGTGAATGAGGTATTTGTGAGACGAGCTGGCCAGTTGATTTAGATACATAGCTTGAGGTAAAATGGCAGATGGTGAGGCTAAAAAGGAAACTTAGGGCCTCAAATAACAAGCCATGATTCGCAGGATGAAATGGAAGGAAGGAAGTTATTTCAGATAAACTGTATACAAAATAACGATAAAATACTAGACTAAGTAGATGGCAGAGATGGAAGAAACAGATTAAACCCACTGAGAAAATTCTTCAGAAAAAACAACAGCGGCAAAAAAAGGAAACATCCACAGGATTCAGTAGCTTATGAACCAAGGATGACAGAAGCCAGGAAATGATGGCTCTAAAGTTTCAAGGTTAAAACTAGGTAGAACATGGGAGGCAGATCCAAGTTTAGAAAGTCTCAGGAAGGAAGGAAGATGAAGCAACATGAGTTTGTTTCCAGATGAGCTGCTCTGGGACGAGAGAAGTACCCCATGGCAAGTTTTAGCAGGCAGGCAAGAGTATAACAGACTCAAAGAGAATCAGTAAGGAAACAATAAAGTTTTTATGAGGCCGGGCGTGGTGGCTCAAGCCTATAATCCCAGCACTTTGGGAGGCTGAGTCAAGAGGATTGTCTGAGCCTGCAGGTTCAAGACCAGCCTGGGCAATTTGGTGGGACCTCATCTCTACAATAACTCAAAAAACAATTGGCCGGGCATGGTGGCACATGCCTGTAGTTCCAGCTACTTGAAAGGCTGAGGCGGAAGGATTGCCTGAGCCCAGGAGGTCGAAGCTGCGGTAGTCATCAGCGTGCCCCCTGCACTCCAGCCTGGGCAACAGAGTGAGACTCCAACTCAAAAAAAAAAAAAAAAAAGTTTTTATGAGTGGATAAAAAGGTGTTGAGAAAGGGAGCACTTGTCTGGGCCTGAATCAAGAGGGGTGCCCGCATTTAAGATGAGATAGAACAAGAGGGGCCAGGGAAGAAGAAGGAGGCAAAACCAGAACCATAAGATGTTATAAGAGTTTCAGAGGAAAGGATGGGCTTAACATTGCCAGATTTTTTTGCTTTCTCTCTTCGTTTTAAACCGCAAAAATTAGTTTGAAAGCATTGCCAGATATTGAAGCGTGAAGTCCAAGTGAAGGCTTTTGAAGAAAGAAAGCTATAAGCCTTCACTGTGCCCTTAAAATGTGACCAGTCTGATTTCAAATGCGCAGCAAGTATGAAATACACATGAGACAACAGGCATTAGTTCTCAGCATCTGTTGGTCAAGTTAATATGGTCCTACTGTGACCTTGACATCATAGGACATTGACTACACATTGAAATAATAACCCTTCAGAGCATGTAAGAAATGGCAGGGTAGGAATGCAGACAGCAAAAGAGTCAAGATAGACTAAGAACAATGATGCTATGGATAGTTTGCCTGTAAGAAGAGCAAAGGTGCACGAACAGATATCAAGTCTTGTGATAAAGAGGTAATGGTGATGTGAGCCAGATGTCAAAGTCTCAAGAGCCAGAAAACAGGTAGTGACAGCAAGGAAGACAGCAAGAGGATGGTACTGATAGTGATTAGTCATCCTAAGCAAGTCGTAATAATTTGCTTCAAAGGACAGACAATTTGGTCCCATTCCTAGTGAGCAGATTCTTTATCTCACTTTACCAGAAAAAACACTCCACCCAGCCACAAAGTGGATTAATACTCTGGCTGAGGCCATCAGAGTACAGAAATCCTTTCCCACTGCAAGTTTCCATCATGCAAAATTCCAGCACACATACCTTTTCAGCAACTGTGCGCATTTCAGTTCCACCATATGCAAATTTGGAATCACTCCTATTAGGAATAAATTAGAAAAAGAACTGGGGTTTGGGATATAAAAAGGAAGCAAAGGAAAATAACAGGATTAATGGTTTTTGCAATGAAATGTTAACAGAGACAACAGAAGAGGGAAGATGAACTAAGGCTAGAGCTGGACTCATACGTCTGTTAGAATCAATCTGGGAAACATGCACAAGTGTTTGCGTGTATAAAGTTACGGGCAAAGCTAAATTCCTGCAGTCCTAGGTATTAAGGAGGTGGGATTGAGAAGGACACCATAGTATGCTTTAAAGTAAAAACAGAAGCTCTCCAAAGGTTTCACTACATCAAGTATCCAAACTACTGGGATGTCTGAGGGGGAACAAGGAGAGGGGCGTGGGAAGTGGGAAGCAGTTACTGAGAATTTAGATGGAAGAAAAGATCAACAGGGAGAAATGCCTCTTAATGTACATGTTTTCTGCCACAAAGAAAATTGCTGGTATTTTAGTGGCATTTCAGGGTAGAGAGAACATAAAATGTATCAAGCAAGAATATGGAAAATAGTAGTACTGCTGGACATGGTGGCTCAAGCCTGTCATCCCAGCACTTTGGGAGGTAGAGGTGAGAGGATTTCCTGAACCCACGGGTTTGAAACCAGCCTGGGCAACTTGGTGAGACCTCGTTCCAGTTATTCGGAAGACTGAGGTGGAAGGATCAGCTGAGCCCAGCAGGTTGAGGCTGTGGTGGCTGTGGGCCTGCTACTGCACTCCAGCCTTGGTGACAGAGTGAGACTATCACTCAAAAAAACAAAAAAGAAGAAAGAAAAGTAAATAATAGTACCAAATGTAAGATACATTGATAGCATTTTTAAATATGCCACCTTTACTTCAGTCAACAAAATTCTATTTATAAGAGCTTTCAGGTCAGGCACAGTGGCTCAAGTCTGTAATTTCAGCACTTTGGGAGGCTGAGGTGGGAGGACTGCCTGAGCCCATGGGTTCCAAACCAAGCTGGACAACTTGGCAAGACCTCACCTCTACAATAAATCAAAAATTAGCTGGGTGTAGTGGCACATGCCTGTGGTTCTGGTTACTTGGCAGGCTGATGCAGGATTGCTGGAGCCCAGCAGGTTGATGCTGGGGTGGCCGTGAGTGTGCCACTGAATTCAAGCCTGGATAATGGAGTGAGAGTCCAAGTCAAAAAAAAAAAAAAGAAAGAAAGAAAGAAATAGGTATGAAAAGGCTGGGCGCTGTGGCTCAGTCTGTAATCCCAGCACTTTGGGAGGCCAAGGGACTGCCTGAGCAGGTTTGAGACCTCCTGGGGCAACTTGGGGAGACCTGGTCTGTACAATTTAAAAAAAAAAAAAAAAAAAAGCCAGGCATGGTAGCATGCCCCTGTAGTTTCCACTTCTTGGAAGGCTGAGGCGCAAGGATTTCCTGAACTGAGCAGGTCAAGGCTGGGGTGGCCATGACTGTGCTGCTGCACTCCACCCTGGCTGACAAAGAGAAGGATGACTACTCAAAAAAAAAGTAGCTTACACGGGTTCATTGTGGATCTTAGTTCCACAAACCATATTTTTCATATAATGGTATATATATGTTAACCAAAAACTCTCGTAATTCAAGTTGGAGTGAACCTCAAACTGTTTTATTGAGCGAGTTTTGGACTAGTAACGGTAACTAATTTAAGCTCCAGTTCGTACACAGTACTGCCAAAATCGTCATAATTTTGAGTTATCAACGACTTAAGAGATCATAAATGTAGTCTTACCTTGTGTCATCATTCAACTAGAGTGGGAAAGAGCAGAAAACATTATTGATCATATTATGGCTGTTTGGTATACATAGATTCATATTATATGCAAATTAAGTCATGTCTTCCTGACTTCAGAGGGTAAACAGCTAAGTCGTGTTTCCTCATCTTATGTCGCTTCTCTGCAAAACGACGCAGCAGAAACTTTTGCGTCGTCACCCCTCGCCTCTCTTAGGTTCTCTAGTATGCCTCAGATGCTTTTGTTGTTCCCTTTGCTTCCTAGAGGGGAGACCAGAGGCGAGGCAAGGGCTGTAACCGTCGTCAGTTGTGCTTCCGAACCCCCTGATGTCCTCGTCCTAGTCCATCGTCTTTCCGGCCTTCCTTGCAGGCTTGGTCAGTGGGGTGATAACCCCAGGTGTAAAGAAAAGCCACGGTCTCCAAGAGAAAAAGCCAGGCTCCCCGCGCACATGCAGTTCGTAGGGGGCTTGCTAGAGCTTAAAGCAGCGCGAGGCGACCAAGAAAGACGGATTCTCCTCGATGGAGAATATGACGATAAAGGCAGAGATATAAAAGAGGTCTACGGATGGAAGTCAGGGATGCCCGTGGCCTCCGTAGCCTGGGAGTTGCCGGCACCCACCCGGGCCCCACAGGGACCGCCCAACAGGTTTCCAGCCGGGGTGACCTACTCACCTCCCCTATACACAGCCCCATCACCTCCTCCTTCTCTGTGCTCAGAGCGTGGTTGAGACAGACTAGGAAAGCGTCAGACTCGAGATGCACCGCCTGCACCGCCTGCACCACCTGCACCGCCATCTTGGTCCGACCCTTCTCACGTCCGCCTCGGGCCCTCTCGGGCCGGACCAACCGGGTGCTCCCGCGCAGCCTCCCGCCGCCCCAGCTCGGCGCTCCGCCCA